CCCTCGTGCAAGTCATCCTCCTTAAACGTCATAATATCACCACGGAATATATATTTTCCCACTTGTGCATCCAAATACAACAATCATGAAAAATCATACCTAATCACCTTCTCGAACCATCATAAAGCATATTAACAGTCAAGCCCACAATTTGCAACATATACACAATCATCAACATAAACAAGGTTCATATCGATTAGGGCAAGTCAATAATATCTTACAGCAATCTAGGGTTCAACATATAGCACAAAAGTTCAAACACCCCTAATCATGCCATTCTAGTTCACCTAGATCAATTCTAAGCATCAATATAATTATCGTGATACGACAAACCCGGTATGTCGTGCTAATCCCTCACCAGTTCTGGTCGTTCAGACACCGGTTTAACCTTCCCGTACTAAAACGTCAATTTCACGAACGAACCCCAAATTAGAATCCGAGACCGTCCTAATATCCCCTGCAGTATCCCCGTCAATATTAGTTCTAGGCTCCGGGTCAAATTCTTGATAAAAACACATCAAACCCTGGCCGGAGCTAAATTCAGCGATTTGGACCCCGGCCTGAATAATTGCCGAAAATCAGGGATTAGAACTAGAGGATTGATTACCTCGCTGCAGGAAGCTTGTATATGAAATTTGGGCTCAATCCGGCTTCCGGATACTCTGAAACCCTAATTTGGCTTATCGAGAATTCATGAAATTCCTGATCCAAAAACTCGTTTTAAAGCTCTAAATCGATAAATCACGATGTATGGATGGATTAGGCATTACTTACGGGATTTTTGGATCACTGTAGCTCAAGAATCGAGCTCGGAGAATTTCCTGCTCTGTCTCCCGTGCGCCCCTGTACTCTCGGTTTCTCTCGGCCGGAAAAGAAAGAAGAAGAATTGGAATGTGATGGGATGGAAATGGACGGGTAACTTATATATGGCCGCTTATTAATATATATATATATATAAAATATTATATAATATATATATAAAATACGTATACTTATCCGATCGATCGAAAATCCGATTTTCGTCGAAATACTATCAAAACGCTCGATTTTAAATCGCGAACTTTCTAGCGATCGAAATATGGGTTTTGCCGGAACGAGATATTACAAGCAGTACCAGCGTCGACGGGATATCGGAAAGCTCGTGAGGAGTCAAGTTAGATTAGGTAATTATTATGTTTCATGGTTATTAGTATACACTGGAGATTCTGTGTTAAGTCGTTGTAAGTGTTTGAGATTGAGAATTTTGCCCAAGTGTTGGGGCTTTTCGTTAAAAACTCTTAAATGATGTCGGTTTGGTTATTTTAAAATGTGGTTTGGGTTGCTCCGGAGTGACCGGTTTTTGGTTTGAGCTATGGTTTTGTTTTTGAAATGAGACGGGACGTGTCATTTTGGTATCAGAGCCGACACTCCTCTGTTCCTTGGCCTCCAAGGAATACTGGAGTGACGATCTGCGTTTTTTTTAAGGTTTCAGTTTTTCAAAGGAAAGGAAAATGGGAGTGTCAGTTAAAAGTTTGGCCAAACGAGTCAGAGTCTTTCGAAAATTTTCAGAATCTCCAGTATACTCTAATCATGATAAAGAAATAACTTTAGGATGTCCCATGGGGTTATGATACGTCTTGGGAAGGAGAAGGAGCAGGTTCCTAGAGGGATCGTTTAGTGAAACCCCTTCATGAGTGAGAAGAGGAGGGTCAAGATAGCTCAAATTCTATGGGGATGTGAGCTTATCAGAATAAGGTTCTGGAAGGAGCCAAGCATTTAGTACATCGACCTGTAGAGCCAAGGAGTTATGGCAAATGGCACCATAATCGAGAGGAAAGGGTGCAAGGAAGGGTCGTGGAGTTCATGAGAATTGCACATAGGGCTACAACCCCAAGGAGCAGTTGAAAGTTAGACTTTAAAAATACTAAGGCCACCTAAGCAAGCAAAGGAAGAACTAAGTATATCATAGGGAGCCTAACAAGATTTCATAGGAACAATACATCAAGGCTAGAAGGAGGTACAACTCCTTGCAAAGAGATTATCACAAGTGAAACTGGGAGTCGTCACAACGAACAAATTTCGAGGTCGAAATTTTTCTTGGGGGGGGGGGGGGGGAATGTGATGTCTCGATTTTGGATTTAGGTTCAACATCAACTACCAGGAGAATTGGATCAACATGACAAGCTGAATTGGTATTTTGTTTCACCATGTTTGGATCAAGCTGGGAAGTAAATAGGGCATTGAGATACTTATGGTTACAAGAGTGCTGCAAGCTAAGGAAACTTATTTGAGCAAAAGGTACCAACGAAGTTGTTATAGTAAGAATAGATAATCGTGGGAAGGAAGTATAAGAAGGGTGTTGATAGAAGGATGAGTTCCGAGCAAATTTTGGGGACGAAATTTTTCTAAGGGTGGAGGAAATGTAACACCCCGGTAATTTAGATTTAGCTTCGACCTTAATACGTGATTGGTTAGATTGACGATTACGTACTAAGAGTTGTAACCGCGGATTAGGAATAATAATAATAATAATAATAACTATTATTATTATTATTTTTCCCAGGAGCATAAACTCCCCTCTCCCCGCCGCCATTCTTTGATTTATCTGCCCCAGAGAATTCCGACCCCGCCGCGGTAGAGGAAAAAAGAAGAAGAAAGGGAGCCGATCCCGACCCCGATCCCACCCCTTTCGTGTTTCTGGGTAAGGATCACGAACCCCTTTGCGATTTCTAAACTCGATTTATTGATAGTCTAATCCGAAGCTCGCTTTTATTAGCGGTGACATTTGAGGGTTCGATCAACAAGGAGATCAACGTCCCGGGTCATCCAACCTAGGCCTAGGCACGTTCTAGAGGTAAGGGAACACGATTCCTTTGAGTTAGATCGATCGATTTGGTGATTTTTCATGAGGATGCAATTCTGGGGTTTTAGCAACAGGCTTTGCAGGCTTTTAGTGACAGATTTTGATTGGTCACTAAAGCTGCTGGGAATTTCCACAAACGTATTTTTAGATGTTTTAAATTGTTTCGAGCCTCTCTGAAGGTTTTTTTTTCTGGATCTAACAATTTTATAAATTGAGAGACGTCTAGGAGATGATTGTAATTTAATGTTGGAATTTTTGAAGATGTATTTCTATCTTTAGAAATTGTTCGAATATTTGTTTTAATTAAATAAAAATCTTTCCGAGGGGTTTTTTAAGGATTTGATAATTTTCCAGGGTATAGGGGCTCATGATTGACAGGGAAAAATTGTTATCCGAATTTTTATAAAGGTTCTAGTTAGGTGGAAAATTCGTCCAAGACTAGAATAATTAAGAGAAATGGTCGTTTGTGAGGGATTAATTCTAGAAAATTTTAGAGGGGGTTAAAGGACCTTTGGAGTGAGGTTTGAGAATGGGACTTTGAGTAGAGGGTGTCTGGATATATAAAAGGGAGGCTTTTAAATCGAGAAATGTTGTCTTAGAGTATGAATTCCTTATTAATAGGTTTCTGGGATAATCCGGCTAAGGAGGGAAAGGAGGCGAGAAAGTTAGCAGCCGATCGAACTTCGTAGTCTCGCGTGATGAAGAGGTTCACACCGATTAGTAGGAGGGGAAGGAAGGCCGAGAACTCGACATCGGTGATCGCAACTGGCGGGAGTAAAGTGATGGAGAGGCCCCGACCCTATCCTCCCAGACGACCCAGGGGTGTCGGCAGTGCGAAGTTGGCCGCCGAATTGTGGCCCGAGGAGGGACCTTGAAGAGAATGGCGGCGAAGCTTCAATGGTTAGGGTCGTTGAAGAGGAAGACGATGAACCGATAGAGGAGGAGCCAAAAGAGGAAAAACGCACGGGGCTTGAGCGTGAGAATGCAGACGTTGATGCGACTAAAGGGTGAGTGTAAAGGGGGTAAAATCTCTGTCGAGGTCTTTTTTGTTTACGCTTTTCATTTGAGGTTATTATTTAGTTAATTTTTTTTTTAGTATGCGCGATATGTGTGTGAGGCATCCCACCGCCTGTAAGGATGGAGGCACGCGTTGTGCTATGTATGAACGTATGTATTTTTGTATGGTTGATGGTATGAGGAACCCCCAGATGGTTGGGCCACTACTGGACGCGGTAGATGGTCGGGTCACTGCTGGACGGCGAGACGTAACGCAGCAGTTGATCGAGTATGTTGGGTCACTACTGGACGGCGAGACGTAACGCAGTAGTTGACGGGCATGGACTGGACGGCGAGACGTAACGCAATGCCATTGTCGAGTTTGGGTATGCAACCAGACGACGAGACGTAACGCGGTTGGCATACTAGGGTAGGGACACCGGACAGCGAGACGTAACACGGTGGTCCCTTGTGTTGGTGTCTTTGGATTGAGAATATGAGTAAGGGAATTCTAAGGATAAGATAGGAGTAGAGATCTCTTATAGACTGTTTGATAGTGAAGTTTAAAGGATGAAAGTGAGAACGACTTTCGTCTAAAGAAGGCTTTCCCCTAATAATGTGTTTAGTAAGGAGTTTGCCTAGAGCAAAGACCTTAGGAAGTAACGACGAGACTGACCCCTTCTCACTCACCATGTTGAGGATAGTCTAGCAGAAGTGGATCATGAGAAGAAGCAGGGCGAAGCGAGCAGCAGTACCAGCGTCGACGGGATATCAGAAAGCTCGTGAGGAGTCAAGTTAGATTAGGTAATTATTATGTTTCATGGTTATTAGTATAAATTGGAGATTCTGTGTCAAGTCGTTTTAAGTGTTTGAGATTGAGAATTTGCTCATTTGTTGGGGCTTTTCGTTAAAAATTCTTAAATGATGTCGGTTTGGTTATTTTAAAATCTGGTTTGGGTTGCTCCAGAGTGATCGGTTTTTGGTTTGAGTTATGGTTTGTTTTTTGAAAAGAGACGGGACGTGTCATTGGGTGTTATGACGTATGCAAGACTTCTTTATCCTAGGTATCTCCTCTCGGTCTCAACCTCAAATAACAAATCAATATGTAGGTGGCCAATCTACTCAAAGCATTAAGAATCCACACACAATATGAATGAGAAAGACAAATAATCCAAATTAATTAATAGAAATCCGATAGCTACATCATACATTCTTCCCCAGAAATTAGGGTTTAGTTCATAATCATGGAGAACAAACTAACAAATAATTCTAGGTTTAACATCTTGGAACTCAAGAAATAGGGAAAAACAGTTACCAATGAAGTAACCTGTTTCTCTAACCCTGAACGTGATGATCGCCTGCAAATTAATCCCAAATTAGCACCCGAACGAACGAAGGGTTTTGAGGACAGCTAGACTCTTGCTCCCCGCTCAACTAGGAATTGCAACGGGGCATTAACAAGGCGGATAGTGCTAAATCTGCGCCTTGATCTATCCTCGAATTCTTGATATGATATGCCCCGCATCCTGTTCTGGGTTGCCAATTTTTGCCCCAAACATTATCCGGCATGGGGCGGATAAAATCCGCCCTGCTCCATCCTTAGAAATTAGAAGGGAGGATCAGAGACTCTTATCTGCGAAGGAGAGACTGAGGAAGCTGAGAGGTCGACGGCAAGATAGATATGAGGAAGGCTGAGCGGCAAGGCGAACAAAAGTTTACGATGAAGGCTATAGTGGCGATTTTTGCCTGGTGATGACGGTGGCTGGTGAGCAAAATAATGTCGATGACGAGTTTAACGCGGCAACGCAGAGGTGTGACTCCTGCAGATATGTTGACGGAGAAGGTGGGACACAAATGATGATGATGGAGGATCTGAGTGGTCGACAATTACTGTTGCTCCCCTGCTCGCGATAGGCGGGAGAGTCCAATGAACATCATGATGTTCTAACAAGGATAAGAGTGCTATGAACGAGAAATGAAGAGATAAAATAATAGTCCAGGATTGTGTTTGTGGAGAATGCTTTTATTGATTGTAGTGATGGAATTAAATAGGGATATTTAATTGGGATTGGGTTTGGGAACTGGAAAAAATTAATGTGGATTGGAAATTTGGAGAGGAGGAATGATTTTGATAAAGGCATAGATGATGGCATGCAGGGTCTTCGAATTTGGGTCTCTCTAGGAAATGGATAGGTAGCTACTGCATGTCTCTCTCTTTAGCTTCGTAGGGTATTAGACAACATAGCAGAGCATATTAGAGCGGGGCGGAGCAGAAGGCAGAATCCATAACCGCTATGTTCTAACCAGCGGCGGATCTAGGGGGCCGCCCCCGGGCCACGGCCCAGCCCTCCCCTGAATCCAAAGCTATTATAGCTTTATAAATTTTTTATTTTCGGTATTTTTTCAGTGTTTGTCGGGTTACGGCCCAGTCCTCTCCGCCTCTTTTCTAATGTGGCCCAGTACTCTACCCTATTCTGGATCCGTCGCTGGTAATAACAGCGGATTGGACGAGATCTGCTCCGTCCAAGCGCGGTTCGGATTTTATCCGCCCCATTACAGGCCGAATCGTAAAAAATCCACCGGATTGGATCTGCTCCGTCCTATGCTCAATGTTGCTGACTAGCTGCTACGCCCAATTCTTGTCCAATTAATTCCCCCTCTCTCAAGGAAACCGGGCCCTCCTTTTATTCCAAAATCTGGTCCAAGTCCAATTCTTCAATTATTCCCCCTTTTTTTAGAGAGGTACTAATTAACGCCCTAGGTTTTTTTCAAATTTGTCACCCTAACTTGATAATTTAACGTTTTTACCCCACAAAATTCTCAATCCCTAACAATCTTCGCCGTCAGCGAGTGCTCCTGGAAGTCATCTCCGTTTCCAACTGTTGTTGTCACCGCTGCCGTTAGAACTATCTTCCGCTGCACCCTCGATCTAGGGATTCCTCGCGGCTGGGAGTGCTTCTCGATCCAATCTCAATTTTGCCTCTCCCGCCTCGTCAACACCGCCATCGCCCCAATCCCAATTTTGCCTCACGGGGGTCAGAACCGCTAGAGCAGCCGCGATGGGGCACTTCCTTCTTCCTACTCACCTTCGCTCCGCAACACCATAGAGGATTGAACTTGGACTTTACGGGAAAACGACACAATGGCGACGACAGGGTAATTGGGAGACGGTCGTCCAGGGCGTAGATTTCCTTCCATTCCAAATCCAGGAAGCGGGTTCTTGACAATCAACCGTGGGCGTTTTGCTGATATCTGATCAATGTTCTGCCATGCGAGCTGCCGATACCTGACTTGTTGTCCCGCATGGCTTTCATGCTGCTTTGGATTCAACTTCGCAGTTTCTCCTTGGCTTGGCATGATAACTGCACTGTTGAATTTGTCAGTGAATTGGTAATTTAACTAGGGGAAGTTCTTGATGTGGGTCTCTATGGGACACAAACTGGTGCTTGATTTTTCTTGAAGTCAAAAGTGTCCGTTGATGTGACCAAACCATTCTGGCGGCGTTTAATAGTGGTGCTTGATGATGGTGTCCGATTTTGGTTCTACTAGGCTATGAGCGGCTCCCATCTGTATACTTCCGATGTGGCCTAATTGGTAATGGATATGCATCTTGCCCGCACAAAGACACTTTGGATGTTGCTCAGAAAAGATGGATGTCGGCGGTCCCAGAGGGCAGTTGGCTTGATTCCTCCACTATGAGGCCAACAAACTTCTATCGGGTTGTTGTTTGGCGTGCGGCAGATGTCATTCCACCGCTGGAGATGTCTCATCCCGAATACCACAATAAAACTCCCAATTAATGTCCAAGTATAAACCGTAATAGGGTGCAATATAGGGCAAGTATGTTTAAATGTCGACCCGGGTTGATTCATGTACACCTACTTCGATTGTTTTTAACATTATCTAGCAATTAATTTTTGGTGAAAACGACGATCTAAAGCTAAAACGTTTGAAAAAATAAATGGATTTGACACTAATTGAGAGGGTTTCACCTGGGTGTTGCTCCCCCTAGCTAACAATTATGACTTGGATCGAATGGTCACATGTGGTAATTTGGTTGTAAACCGTGGGGATGTGCAACAAGTAGTCAAACGCCACTCTCTCAGTCTCTAGGTCGAGGGAATTCAGTTCAAGCCACCAAAGTGACTCTCTCGACCTATCATATAAGGGTTTCCATGACTTCGCCCTCGAATCGGAGGTCGAACGGCCAATTACCACCAACCCTAGGTGCTAATATGAAGATAGAGGGGTGTTCGACATTAACCTAGATAGGAGACAATGAATTTCCAAAGAAACCCCAGCTTGCAAGCCTCTTTCAAAGAAATGAGGTTTTCCCTCTACCTAGATTACCATGACAATTAGATTGATAGGCTTTCACACAACACAATCATTCATGAATAGTACCTCCATATTCACATTAAACACATCCACACACAAATCAATCAATTCATACAAACATTCACATAATTGTAGCTAGGGTTTACAAACACCCAAGTGAAAGAAGGGGCTACTCCATGCTAGGAGAAGGGAAAACACAATAGAGAAGAAGGAAAACCATCAATGAGATGCTAGCCTTGCTCATTGTGTTAAAGAGATCCTCATTTAGGGGAGGAATTCCCAAATCCTTACTTGAAGATGAAACCCTAGCTTCTCATCTTCTTTTGTTGGTCACTTTCTCACTCTAGAAATCTGAAGAAGAAAAAGTTTCTCACACTATGTCTCTCTCCCTTTTCCCTTCAGCTCAACCTCCTTTTATAGCCAGATCGGGCTCAGATCACGGTCCTAGTTCACGGCCGTGAACTGAAAGCCCAGACCGTGATCTCAAGTCAAAATGGGTCACATCACTAAGTCCAGTTCACGGGCAATGGCATGATTTCACGCTCTTACGACCGTGGTGCAATAGTTCCATTTGAGGAGAGTTTCCCTGTTGTTCTAGAACTTGAGGAAAAGGGTTACTTTGCCCTCGTTGTTGCAGCTGTTAAGGAGAAAGAGCTGCCCTTGGTTATGCCTTCCACTCGCATGGAGGGAATTTTAGAGCCTACTACTGTGCCAAATAACGAGGCGGACTCTTCAGCTCCCGCCGTGAATGCTTCGTCTGATGGTGAGAAGAACAATGCAACTGTGGTGGAGGTGACGAGCCCGGATTTGGTTTCCAATCGGCAAGTGACACTCTTAAGTTGGAATTGCCAAGGGTTGGGAGGTACCTTGACATTCCGTGAACTCCAGCGTGCTATTCATCGTAATGTTTCGGCATTTGTGTTTTTAAGTGAAGTTAAAATATGTGTTCCTCATTGTGAAATTATTATTAATCATTTGGGTTTTAGTAAGAAATGTATTGTACCCCATCCCGAAATGGGTTTTAGTAAGAAATGTATTGTACTCCCAGCGCGATGTCGGAAGGAGGGTTAGCTTTTGTGTGGGATGAAGCTATGCGTGGTGGTATTCTTGATAGTTCGCCATCGTATATAGCTTTCCGTTGGGATTTGGACATAAATAAAAGTGTTGTTCTTGTTTGGTGTGTATATTCATTGTGATCTGGTTGTTCAGAGTTTACAGCTTATTGTTTTGTTTACTTACTTAAATTCGTTAAACCTCCCATATATTTTTTTTGGTGATTTTAATGTTATATTAACATGATGAAAAGCGAGGAAGTTCGCGATTTGATCCGGCTGGTGATTCTTCTTTTCAAGAATTCATTGATGACATGACGTTAATTGACATCGCATTTTAGGGTCATCCTTTTTAATAAGATCAAATCATAGTTCGGGTCATCGTTTGATTGAGACTCGTCTAGATCACTTCCTTTTTCGGCCGATTCTGGGGTTTATCATTTATCCGATATCGGTTCGGATCATCGGATGATTATGTGGACTCCGCATCGCCGGTCCCATCGCAGCAAACGGTTATTTCGTTTCGACGCGCGTTGGGTGACCGATCCTGAAAGCTCTCCTGATCATTGATTACTATTGGAATCTCCCGGTTTCGGGTTCTCCTGTGTATTGCGGCCTTCACGTTAAGCTGAAAAGAACTCATCATGCTCTTTTCCCATGGGCTTCTGCCAGTGGCTGATCCGGGGGTGGCCATCCCAGGCCACGGCCCAGCCCTGCTCTGGATCCAGAGTTAGTATATCTTTTATGAGTTTAGCGAGTTTAATTAGTCATTTGACTCAGTGTTATTTTATTAATACGATTGTGTGTAATTGAGAAAATGGGTTAGATGAACATATTCAAATCACAACTTTAAATTTATCCTAGAAATTCTAGCTCCAGTTATTCTCTTCTAAAGAAAAACAAACAATGTAACCTAAAATTCTAAAATGTAAGAGACTAAAAGAACTATGAGGTTTGTTCCCTTAAAAAATTACTAGACCAGCTAGTGGAAATAGGGATGAACACACAATACAAATTGATTAGTCGATTGATTTGTCTAGTGTTGACATTGCCCTTTGCAACAACTACTATGGAGAAAACCTTTTTAACAATGGAACAGGTGAAATATGATTTGCGCAACCAAATAAGCGATGAATTTCTCACTGATTGGTTAACTATTTTATTTGAAGGAGAGTCATATGCTATTGGTATGGATGTAGATAGGGTTGGCTATTAGGTCCGGGTTTTTTTGTTTTATCCAAAACCGGACCGGGACCGGATGGTAAACAATCCAATCCAATTTTTGGGCTTAGATCCGGATCAAAAACTAGATAAAGACCGGATAAGAGAGTTCAACACCCAAAATTTAAGAGTAATTATCATAAACGGTCACAAACATTTGCACTTAGTACAAAACTAACCAACTCCTCACCCTTTTAGGCCTTAGGCCACTCAAATCCCCACAAGCTCAATATAAAATCAAGACCGAATTGGGACCAGACCGGGTCAAGACCGGACTGTATCCAATCCAATCTTTGGTCCTTATATTATCGAAAAGACCGTACTGGACTGGATCAATTTGGGCCAATTTAACCGGACCAGACCGTATAGCCACCCCTAGATGTAGACTCCATTATTGATGAATTCGCTATATTAAAAGATCGAGATGTACAATTGATATTGTAAAAAAACTACGACTATTTTTTACGGTATCTAATTTTCTAATAAAATGCAGCCCAGTGCTCTGCTATGTCCTGATCCGCCGTCTACTGAGAGCACTAATTCCTTGCGGAGAATCAATGATCTCACAACGGCTATTCATGTACAACGTGCTTTGGATTTTCAGGATTGGGATTACATCCGCTCTTTAGAACACTAGCTTGGGAACAAGAAAAAGTATTTTGGCGCCAAAGGTATCGAACTCAATGGCTTCGTAAAGGCGACCGGAATTCAACATATTTTCACCGAGTGACCCAAACTCGTCGAGCAAAGTTGCCCATTTTTCGGGTTTGTTTATGTCAGAAATTTCGCCTCTCGATATTGATACATCGATGGATTATCTCCATTATCACCTAAGGTGACCCATGCCATGAATGATTCTCTGCTGGCTCCTTTCACTACTTTGGATATTAAAAGGGCTTTGTTCCAAATTGGCCCTACTAAGGCTCCAGGATCCTATGGGTTTACCACTGTATTTTTTCAAAAATTTTGGGATTTGGCTGGTCCGGACGTCATTTCCGCAGTTAAATATTTCTTTCGCTTGGATCATACTTCGTTCTTTCAATCATAAGTGGTTGACGTTGATTCCCAAGGTGAGTAATGTGGAAATGTGTGCCAACTGCGTCCAATTGGGTTATGCCAGGTTTTTTATAAAATTATTTCTAAAATGTTGGCATCTCGACTTGGGGACATCCTACCACGGGTTATCTGTACTTATCAAAATGGGTTTGTTAAACACCGGTCCATTGTGGATAATGTGATTCTCAGTCAGGAGATGATGACTTCTCTGCAGAACAAAAGGGGTGGCCATGAGCGATTTATGGTGCTCAAGCTTGATATGGAGAAAGCCTATGGCCGCATTGAATGGGCGTACTTATTTTGAATCATGCTCAAATTGGGTTTTGCTTTGTGGCTTATTGAATTATTGCTAAATTGTCTTTCCACCACATCGATTTCCGTTATGCTAAATGACACCTCGTATGGGTATTTTCACCCGTCCTAGGGTTTTTGCTAAGGTGACCCTCTATTCCCACTCTTGTTTTCCATTTGTATGGAAGGTTTTTCAACTCTCTTGTCTCAAGCAATTGCAGAGAATGAGTTGAAAGGGATTTGTTTTATTAGCCACTGTCCAGTGCTCTCTCATCTTTTCTATGCGATGATGCTTATTTGTTCCTTCGAGTTTCATCTCGTGATTGTGCTACTCTTTTGCACCTACTATCCCAGTATGAACGTATGAGTGGGCAATGAGGTGAATTTGGCCAAGTCAGCTCTGGTTTTCTCTAAAAACACTCCTGCAAAAAAGTTTTCCACTTTGGCGCTCTACTTCAAGTTGGTGTGATTGGGACACGGGATATGTATCTTGGCCTCCCTTCTCTTGTTCAACGATCCAAGCGGTATACTTTTTGTTTTATTGAAGATGAGGTCTCCAAGCTGTTGCAGGGATGGAATCGATGT